ATAGAATCTTCGTCGATATAATTTTTTTACTAAATAATCGAAAAACTTAGTTTCTTGCCTGAAGGTTGTATCTAGGGCTGCCGTCACCAAAATTGCCAACGCCGGATAAACACGGAAAAAATCCCGGATATTTGGGCGAAATATGTCTTTTTCCCCGCATACCTCTGAAAAAATATTTTTTGCAACAAAAATAAAAACATCGTTATAATTTTTATTTATTTATACAGCTTGTTATTAAAATCGAATTAAGTACGTATGTAACCGCAACAAATAATAGACACTTTTAATATAATTAAGTACTCTTTCTGAGCCTATCTATGATATCTATAAAAAAAATTGGATTTCCCCTGACAACAAAAGTGTCCCAGACACGCTTTAAAAACCCCTGCCGGACGCCCTTCAAATTAGGACAAATCCGGGGAATCCCAGACGGATGGCAACCCTATCCAGGAGTAATAACTGTAAGAGCGTCACGAAGTTGTACTCGATCGTCTGCTACGCAGTAAGGCCTAGCACACACTGCGATTTTTTAGCCGCCGCGATTGAAAAGTCGTAGTCGCAGGAAGCACTTGCGACCAAATAATCGCAACTTTTAATAATTTGCAATATGAGCGTCACAGAAACAATGTGCATTGTGGGATTGTTATTGCGAATAAAAGCTAATAATACTAAAAGGAAGCAGAAGAAACAATATTGGTACCATCCTATCATAAATCAGAGATTAATAAAATGGCAATTTTCTTGTTTCAATTTCGGATATAAATTTTTCTGTATTTTCACTATGTGACGTTTCTTCTTCCTTTGTAACAGATAACTCACAATATGACATATTTGATGACCGTAATGTATTCATTAATTTTACACAAAACAACAGATGATCGTCAGTGAGTTGCGACATTTTATTTACAAGTGCGCGCAGCTTCACTGCTGACTGTACGATTCATTTTACATCCGCAAGAAAAATAGGACCAGTCCCGATTTTTTAATCGCAACGATTATTTACTCACTTATGTGCACACTTACATTTACAAGCCTATGTTATATTTTTACGACTAAATAATCGCGCGATTAAAAAATCGCAGTGTGCGCTAGGCGTAAAGAAATGAGTATTTTGATTTGCGCATAAGCGAGGAAACTTACTATTTTACATTCGGCAATTGACAAAACCGAAGAATTACTATAAACAGCGTAGTGCACGACATCTGTAGAATATTGATACATTTTGTGGGATTGAAAAACGTTCGACAATGTTTATTGGGATATCGACTTGTCGAACTGAAAGCACAGTGTGGCTCTGGCTGCCGAAACGTTCATGGTATCGATAGAATTGAAATTGATGTGCAGTAGTGATAGTGCCTTTTAGATCTCCCCGCTTCGGATTAAGTTATTGCTCTTATATTCTTGACTGTACCCATGAAGAATATAGACAAGGAGTCCAATCTTCATATGCAACAACATGTGAGAACCATCCAGAAAATTTTATAAAATAGTAGAGAGCGCTATGATCGCTATGAATCCAAGGTCGACAATTTGACTTATACTTGATATTAAAAATTCATATTTATATAAATCTTTGCAAGCCAAAAATGCTCAATAAAATCGGTTAAAATTTTTCAAAACTCTAGTCCTAAAGTTTAACTGATTGTCCTTACGCTATTCGAAGCATCTTTTGCCATGTCCTTACACCCTTTAAGCTAATAGTACAACCTCCGATAATCTGTAACAGCTAACTGAGAGATTGTCAAACACACAAACAAGCGTACACCGAAACATTATTTATTACGTATTGATTGTCAATCAATAATTGTATTTATAATAACGTAACATACAACACACTGTTTTGGCAAGAATATTACAGTATAGAGCACGAAAAGAATGGGCAGACGAAAACAATAAAATTAATCAGAATACCAAATAGCCTATGCGACAATAGAGAAAAGTATTATTGAAGTGAAATTTCTTTACGCACGGTACGATAAGTTCGTTTCATCCGAGTTGCTATGTAACGAAATCATGCAACGGATGTCCCCCTTCTACTCGGCCACATAGTCGAGTTCGTAGTGGGGATCGCTTGAGCCGTGAGCGCCCTCCAATGCAACGTACGTTACAGGCAACTCCGGCATGTATAGTGTAAAATTTAAATACATAGTGTACAAATAATACCACTACATCAACTCCTATCCCGGTATGTTTGAAGAAGTTTCACTTCAGTATAGCGTGTTGTATAATTACACGTTGTACTTTTTTTAGTGTTCTACCTTATCCTAAGGAATAGATTTTACAATATTCGTATTTTATACTCATAGAGGAAATTATTTACCTAACGGCCCAATAATGTATCTGAGATAGTATTCACTCTTTTTTATCAGTGAATGCTGAACGTCATACTCGATTGTAGCAACACACATCTGATATAAAAACAAAAACGAGTAAATATTGGAAAATAAATGATAAAATCACTTTAAATATCACAATACCTTCGGTCCTATCAGTTTATTAATAAATCAGTCTCATCTGATCATTTAACCTGTTAGTGCTATTTTTTATATAAAACTTCTTAATTCTATTATCCCATTTCGCTGCTCCGTTGACGGTAAAGACTGAATAATATTTATCATCCTACCTACTAAAAGTTTGCTTTATTAACTCCAAATTAATTAAGGCACTCAGTACATTCAAATTGCAGTGGTCAGGTCACCATGAGGTCATTTTTACTAAAATTGAGCATCATTTTTCTAACACAGTCGCACAATTTATCTGAGAGTGCAACCTCTGAATGTACGCTAACTGGTAATTCTCTGGAAAATCTAACTTCAATACTGGCCACATGCAAAGAAATCTCGATAGCAAATCTTCAAGTACCTGCTGGAGAAACGCTCGCTTTAAACGCCCAAAACGATTCGATTATAATCTTCGAAGGAAATATTACATTCGGATACAAAGAAATGACTAGTCTTCTGATAACTATTCAAGGGAACAATATCACAGTTGCTGGAGCTCCGGGACATTTACTTGATGGTGGTGGTGCGAGATGGTGGGATGGCCTCGGTGGAAATGGTGGAAAGAAAAAGCCAAATTTCATTGAGCTTCGGCTTGAAAACTCTTTGGTCAAAAACTTGAACGTAAAAAACAGCCCGAAACATTGCTTTATAATAATCGACAGCGAAAATGTGATACTCACTGATAACATATGTGACAATTTAGATGGAGACACACAAGGAGGTCACAATACAGACGCCTTCGCTGCATTCAACTCAAAGGATATAACAATTACGAATTGCGTCGTATTTAATCAGGACGATTGTTTTGCTATAAAATCGGGAAGCGGTTATGTTTTTACAAATAATTTCTGTCACGGAGGTCATGGAATATCAGTTGGATCTGTCGGAGGACGTGCTAACAATGTGGTCGAAAATGTGTTTATAAAAAACAATACAGTTGTAAATTCTGAAAATGGAATTCGTATAAAAACCAATTACAACACCACGGGCATTATTACAAATGTTACTTATGAAGATATTACCATTGAAAATATTACTGATTACGGTTTTCTTATTCGTGGGGATTATTTGAACAGTGGACCAACTGGCGAACCCACACCTGGTTTCGAGTTATCTCATTTAACCTTCCGAAATATTCGTGGTACAGTTCAAAGTGGGGGAACTAATGTATACGTTTTGCTATCCAATGGGGTAGCTTCAAACTGGATAGTGGAAAATATTAAAATTGTTGGTGGACTCAAAAAGGATGTTCAGTGTTTAGGAATCCCTAGCGACTGCAACCTTTCCTGTAAAGACCATAACGGTGGTCCTTCGCAATATCTCTCATTATCCTTGTTAAGTACTTTAATATTTCTAATTGTTTTGCGATAGTGTTTTCTTGTATGCTGAAGATATTCAGTTTTCTTGTCAAGTATTTTAATATATTAAGTTGTTCTGCGATGATGCTTTTTCTTGTAGGTACATACGTATATAAAATTAATAAATTATAATATATGAACTAATTGTAGTTTAGTAAGATAACTACCCAAGTCGAATGATTTTAGTTTTAGACGGACTCATTGAAATCTGAATTTGTACTAATATACGCCTGCTTTAGGTACATCTAATATTAGCAAATTTTAATAAAAAAATGAAAAATAAATCTCACTTCGCCTGTTAGTTTTTCCAACGTATGGGCAAAACCAGGTTAAATTTGCAATTATTACACCTAATTATTAAGCATGTATATATGTTAAGAACTTAATGAAGTATTAAAAAAATGAATTAATATATATAATGGCGGCTGAGAGCACTGGTCAAATCATGACATCTTCAAAATTTATGTCAAGCTAGGCAACCTATCCTAACCCAAATAATTATGAACAAATAAATAACTTTTGCTAATAACTTACTGCTTGCCACAAGAATTAAATAGGAAAAAGAAAGAGATCACAAAACATAAAACATTCCAAGTAAAATTTAAAGCTGAACACGAAAAACAAAAAAATGTACATAAGTTTAACGAAAAAAACAAAAGACATTGCAAATAATTCTGAAAAAGGAAATACCAATCAAAGTAAAATTTAGATAAACCCTTCAACATATTAAGGAATTGTTTAGGTAATGGTTTATTAATGTACATAGGTGATATAATAATCAGATGCTTTTTTATCAGTGAATGTCGAACGTCAGATTCGACTGTAACAACGCAAGTCTGATGCCCTCAAATTATTATTGTTAAACATAAAAAAATGAGTAAATATTGCAAAATAAATGATAAAATCACTTCAACTACTTAGGATGCCAGCATTTTATTAATAAATCAGTCTCATCAGATCATTTAACCTGTTAGTGTCATTTCTAATATAAAACTCATTAAGTTGCATTAGTGAGCTACTTTCCTACATCGCTTGTCCGTCAATGGTAAGAACTGAATATTTTTTTTCATTTACCCTACTTGAAGAATGCTTTATTGACATCAAGTTAATTAACGTACGTGCTATGTTCAAATTTCAGTGATCAGGTAACCATGAGGTCATTTTTAATAACATTAAGCATCATTTTCCTAACAAAATCGTACAATTTATCTGAGAGTGCAACCTCAGAATGTACGCTTACTGGTAATTCGCTGGAAAATTTAACTTCAATATTGGCCACATGCAAAGATATTTTGGTAGCAAATCTTCAAGTTCCTGCTGGGGAAAAGCTTGCTTTATACCCTCAAAATGATTCGATTATAACTTTTGAGGGAAAAATTACGTTCGGATACAAAGAGATGAGTGGTTTTCTAATAAGTATTCAAGGGAACAATATCACAGTTGTTGGAGCTCCGGGACATTTAGTTGATGGCGGCGGACCTAGATGGTGGGATGGCCTCGGTGGTAATGGTGGGAAACGTAAGCCGAACTTCATTCAATTTCGGCTTACAAACTCTATTGTCAAAGGGTTGAAGGTAAAGAATAGCCCCAAAAGTGGTTTCTCGATAACATACAGTAAAAATGTGATCCTAACTGATATCACATATGACGATTCAGATGGCGATATACTAGGAGGTCACAATACAGATGCTTTCGATACATCCAATTCAGAGAACGTAACAATTACGGATTGCGTCGTCTTTAATCAGGACGATTGTCTAGCCATAAATTCGGGATATGGCCATGTCTTTACAAATAATTATTGCTATGGTGGTCACGGAATATCTATTGGCTCTGTCGGAGGACGTAGTAACAATGTGGTTGAAAACATCCTTATAAAAAATAACACAGTTGTAAATTCTCAAAATGGAGTTCGTATAAAAACTAATTACAACACCACAGGCATTATTACAAATGTTACTTATGAAGATATCACCATTGAAAATATTACCGATTACGGTTTTCTTATTCGTGGTGATTATCTGAACGGTGGACCGACTGGAAAGCCTACACGTGGTTTCGAGTTATCTCATTTAACCTTTCGAAATATTCGTGGTACAGTCCAAAGCGGGGGAACTAACGTATACGTTTTGTTATCCAATGGGGTAGCTTCAAACTGGACAGTGGAAAATATTAAAATTGTTGGTGGACTCAAAAAGGATGTTCAGTGTTTAGGAATTCCTAGCGACTGCAGCCTTTCCTGTCAAGACCATAACGGTGGTCCTTCGCAATATCTCTCATTATTCTTGTTAAGTACTCTAGTATTTCTAATTGTTTTGCGATAGTGTTTTTTGTTGTAAGTCGAAAATATTAATTTTTCTTCTCAAGTATTTATATCTTTAGTTGTTCTGTGATGATGCTTTTCTTGCACATATGTATATATATCATAATGGAAAAATTAATTGTAGTTTAGTAAGATAACTACCCGAGTCGAAAGATATCTATTTTAGACCGACTCAATAACGTCTGAATTTGTCCTAAAAAACGCCTACTTAGCACCTAATATTAGTAAATTTCAATAAATGAAAGTAAAATAAATTTCACTTCATCTGTTGGTTCTTCCAACGTATGGTAAAAATTAGGTTAAATTTGTAATCATTATACCTAATAACTGAGTATGTATCCATACATGTACGTTATGAAATTAATGAACTATAAAAAAAATGAAATATTATATATAATGACGGCTGAGGGCAGTGGTCAGACCATGATATCTTCAACACTTATGACAAGCTACTTAATAGATTAGTATTATTGCAGAAGTGATTGTAATATTTTGAAAAAATATATGTATATAGATATTAACCTAACCCCAGTAACTATAAAAAAATAAATAGAAACTTACTGTTTGTCACAAGAATTAATTGGAAAGAGGAAGAGATAGCAAAACATAAAAATGCCTAAGTAAAATCTAAAGCTGAACACGAAANGATTTTTATATACATTAATTTTCATCTTATTAATAATCAGCTTTTCGATTATATGTACATAGGGGAAATTATTTACATAATGGCTTAATAATGTAGGTAATACAACATTCAAATACTTTTTTATCAGCAAATAACGAACGTCACATAAGATTGTAACAATACACATCTGATATGCTCAATGATAATCTTATTGTAATAATTAAATATAAAAAAAAATGAGTAAATATTGTAAAATAAATGATAAAATCACTTTAACTACTTAGGATGCCAGCATTTTATTAATAAATCAGTCTCATCTGATCATTTAAACTGTTAGTGTCATTTCTAATATAAAACTCATTAATTTGCATTAGTGAGCTATTTTCCTACATCGCTTCTCCGTCAGTGGTAAGAACTGAATATTTTTTTTCATTTAGCCTACTTAAAGAGTGGTTTATTGACACCAAGTTAATTAACATACGTACTATGTTCAAATTTCAGTGATCAGGTTAGCATGAGGTCATTTTTACTAACATTAAGCATCATTTTGCTAACAAAATCGTACAATTTTTCTAAGAGTGCAACCTTTGAATGTACGCTAACTGGTAATTCGCTAGAAAATTTAACTTCAATACTGACCACATGCAAAGAAATCTCGATTGCAAATCTTCAAGTTCCTGCTGGAGAAACGCTCGCTTTAAACGCTCAAAATGATTCGATTATAACTTTTGAGGGAAATATTACATTTGGGTACAAAGAGATAAGTGGTTTTCTAATAGCTATTCGAGGGAACAATATCACAGTTGTTGGAGCTCCGGGACATTTATTTGATGGTGGTGGAGCTAGATGGTGGGATGGTCTCGGTGGTAATAGTGGGAAAACTAAGCCTAAGTTTTTTCAGTTTCGGCTTACAAACTCTATTGTCAAAGGGTTGAACGTAAAAAATACCCCGAAAAATTGTTTCTCGATAACATACAGTAAAAATGTGATCCTAACTGATATCAAATATGACAATTCAGACGGCGATATACTAGGAGGTCACAATACAGACGCTTTTGATACATCTAATTCAGAGAATATTACAATTACGAATTGCGTCGTCTTTAACCAGGACGATTGTCTCGCCATAAATTCAGGAGATGGTCACGTCTTTACCAACAATTATTGCTATGGTGGTCACGGAATATCTATTGGATCTGTTGGAGGACGTGATAACAATGTAGTCAAAAATATCTTTATAAAAAACAATACAGTTGTGAATTCTGAAAATGGAATTCGTATAAAAACCAATTACAACACCACAGGCATTGTTACAAATGTTACTTATGAAGATATCACCATTGAAAATATTACCGATTACGGCTTTACCAACAATTATTGCTATGGAGGTCATGGAATATCGATTGGATCTGTCGGAGGACGTGATAACAATGTCGTCAAAAATATCTTTATAAAAAACAATACAGTTGTGAATTCTGAAAATGGAATTCGTATAAAAACCAATTACAACACTACAGGCATTATTACAAATGTTACTTATGAAGATATCACCATTGAAAATATTACTAATTATGGTTTTCTTATTCGTGGTGATTATCTGAACGGTGGACCGACTGGAGAGCCCACACGTGGTTTCGAGTTATCTGATTTAACCTTTCGAAATATCCGTGGTACAGTTCAAAGTGGGGGAACTAACGTATACGTTTTGCTATCCAATGGGGTAGCTTCAAACTGGACAGTTGAAAATATTGAAATCGTTGGTGGACTCAAAAAAGATGTTCAGTGTATAGGAATTCCCAGCGATTGCAATCTTTCCTGCAATGACCAGAACGGTGGTCCTTCATACTATCCTTCATTTTTCTTATCAAGTACTTTAGTAGTTTTAGTTGTTCTGGGATGATGATGTAATTTATCCTAAAAACTCATGTTGTACCCCTAATTTTAGTAAATTTCTAACTGTGTTTTTATCAGAGGTTTTCCATAGGGATGAAAAATAATCTCATTTAGTCGCCTATTATTGTTGAACAAAAATGGACAAAATCAAGTAAAATTTGTAATTATTAGTGTACTTTAGTATTAAATATTTCTGAAATGGCTATACCTGGCAATGGTCGTTTTGAAAATTTAATAAAACGACCACTTTTTCAATTTTATGCTATCTGTAAGTGTCAGAAATCAAAAATTTATAAAATCGCCTATAAAGGAACGTATCCAAATAACAAAAACACAGAATTACGGCACAATTGCGTAGGTAGGGGTAATTCATTCGTTGACTGTAGGTCAGGTCTGTTTGGACCGAAACTTCTACCAATGATATCATTCCTACGGCAGTAATCGATTTATTTAAGAAAACAAACAAAAATTTTATCACTGAGGTTATGACAACAAGACTCATTTTTCACATAGAACCCTGCTGCCTGTGTTCTAATTGGTGCTTTAAATGATTTATCTGTAACAAGTGGTTAACAGCGACCATTGCATCTAGTACCAATGGTTGTAAAAAAACTATCAATTTCCTTATAGTTCCGCAAATAAATAATAACATAATAACAAATAATTACAACTTCCCAAAAATAGTAAATTAGCCGACACGGAATTTTATGTCAGCATCTGTTCAATTATTAACAGGAACACGTGTTTCTCTGTGATTGTTGTGTGTTGGACTATCTAAATTATCTAATCTAGGTCATCCTGATGTATGCCTTAAAAAAACTTAATTAGGCTGGATAATTGATGGTAGTGAAGCAGGTGCCGATAAAACGTCATTCATTTTGCAATTTCACCAACAACAACAACAACGATATCAATAGATTCTGGGAAGTTGAAGAGGACGCCGTTGTCCAACAAAAAACAGTAACAGAAAATCACTACAAGAATAATGTAACTTGCAATATCGATGGGAGCATCAAGACTACCTCAGCTATATATGAAGACAAGAATATGATTCTATATCATTCACATGCGAGCTTGGTTCAGTTTCTTTTTTAGTGAACGATAAACAGAACAAGTTTCCAAGGGGTGCAGTTGATTGGAAGAAGGCTCTATATGTAGATGATTTTTTGGGATTGTGCTCGAACAATGGAAGAGTACATGCAATCATGCGAAGAAGTCATTAGTATTTCTGGAAGACCCTTCTGATTGTAGCATCAACAAGCAATTAAATGATAAAACCAATACAAGATTAAAATTGGGTTTATATTGAAACTCTACTGAAGACAAAATCATTTATACTGTTAGACCAATTTTTATTCCGTCTGTTGTCACTAAATATATATTTTTTTCTGAAATTTCGACTCGTATGATTTTTTCACACCGTTCCTTTGAAATTAATCGATTAATAAATTTAGAAACTTCGTTTAAATTAGAATGAATCGTTGCCACTTCAAATGTCTTCTAGATGGATAATGTCTGTCAATCAACTTCATTTGGTCAATTGTATATTATTCGATAGGTAAACTGTAGTCATGGATCTGGTTATTATTCATCTACACGGATTCTGTGACGCAAGTCAGAGAGCATACGATGCCTGTATTAAGTCTAAATCAGTCTTATTTGTGCAATTTTTAAGGTTACCCATTTAAAAAATGTTCAAACAATTCCAAAGTTAAAATTATCTACAGCCAAACTTTTAGTAAATTTATAAGAATTGTGTTGCACTGGATCACAACGGAAAGATATTCGAACCTACGAAAATACAGCCAATTTACTGTCTGGTAGTATAACACCTGCACATACATATACGGACCAATTCGGATCCCCGGAAAAGAACGGTAGTGGACAACACAACCAAAAATTCTAATAGTGAAGAGGTCCCCAAATTGCCCTTGACCTGCTATTCAAAAATCTGACAGAAATAAAAGACCTGTAAGTATACGTGAACTTCGTGAATCATACTTTAGTTATATTAAAACTATTACAGCAGTTTTTAGGGATCTGTACCCAAAGGATAAAACGGCACCTTATTACTAAGACACCGCTGTCCGTCCGTCCGTCCGTCCGTCTGTTACCAGGCGGTATCCCATGAAACGTGATACTTTGACAGTTGAAATTTTTACAGATGTATTTCTGTTGCCGCTATAACAACAAATACTAAAAATTTAACAGGCATAACAGGAGTCCGACTCCCACTTGGCTTGGTTTTATTGGTTGATTGAGAGAACTAATCAAGTTCGTCACATCATCATCATCATCATAAGGTCATCAGTCCTAAGACTGGTTGGACATGTACCTCCACTCTTTCCTATCCTGAGCTAAACTTCGCATTTCCTTAAAACTAGAACAGCCCACATCCTTAACTATTTGCGAACAGTAATCTAATCTAGGTCTACCTCTACCCCTCCTAATTCCTGTTTCTGCCTCTAATATGTCTCTGACTAGACCTTCATGCCTGAGAAGGTGTCCTACCAACCTATCTCGCCTATTTTTTATTGACTTCCATAGAGTCCTCTGTTCTCCTATTCTTTCCAATACCTCTTCATTTCTAACCTTTTCTACCCACGATATCCTCATCATCCGCCTATAACACCACATTTCGAACGCTTCTAACCTTTTCTTTTCCGCCGCTCCCACTGTCCATGTTTCACACCCGTACAACGCCGTGCTCCAAACATACACCTTTAACAACCTTTTTCGAATTTCTAAATTAACCGTTCGCGAGCATAGAAGTGACTTCTTTTTATTAAAGGCGACACGGCCCTGCGCTATCCTCTGCTTTATATCCCTACTACTCCTTCCATCCTCACTTACCTGACTTCCTAGGTATCCTAAGTTTGTCACATTATTGGAAAATTTATCTATTTATTTCGGTCGCCTCAATCCAACAGCTGTAGATTATGTCATGTAGGTACCTATTGTACCTAGAAAACCCTGACAATTATCTCTTCTTTCGGTAACTAATACAAAAAATGAAGCAAAAGTTTTAGGTTTGTTGGCAGAAGGAATATCTTGCTTAACAGTCAGATAGAAATCGAAAAAGAGCGAAAATCCAATCAATATTGGTTCCATTGTCATCATCCAAGACGACAATCTTCTTTCTCATCAGTGGCGTCTAGGTAGGGAAATACAAAGATATTAGCCTTACGCGAAATCGAAAAAAAGACAGCAATATGCACGTTAGCACGACATAATTAAAACATAGTATTTATGCTACCTTAAAAATACACAGATAAGCAAAATATTAAGAGCTACGTTATCGGTATGAAAAGCGTGAGCAAAAGCGCCGAGTATCGTCGGTTAATACGTACAAATTGTAGTTTCTAAATCGCCTTTTTGTTGGAATATATTACATGATTTTTAATCTTTTACAGTTAGGCTAAGATAATGTATTCATGACGTGCTTTTCTTAAATTAACATCAAAAAATCTATTGTATTATCTATCAATTTATTTTGTTGGGCATTCCTAAAAGTGGTCCTGCTATTCCCATTTCACCGATAATCTATCGGTTGGACCATTCCCTACGATTTACAAATTCCACTTTAAAGCACGGTATTTACTATCCTTTCCATTTTTTCCTTTTTTCACAAACCAAAAGTCACTTTTCTAAAAGATAGTCAATATCAAGTACTTATTCAAACATACACTCAAAGAATCACTTTTACACTATGTAATTTTTATATAAAGAGAAAATTCTTTATATATGATTTATTAATATAGGTGATGCAATATTCGCATGCTTCTTTTATCAGTAAATGTCGAACGCCAAATTTGTTTGAAACAATACACCTCTGATGTCCTCAATGATAATTCCATTACAATGGCTTAACAAAAAAAGATGAGTACATATTGCAAAATAAACGATAAAATAACTTTAGATATCACAATATTTTCGATGTTTATAATACGAAAAATACTAAATAAATCAGTATCCTTCGATCATTTAACTTGTGGATGCTATTTCTAATGCAAAACTACCCAATTTGACTTTATTTACCCACATCGATATTCCACCAACGGTAAGAACTGAATAATAATTATCATACAACCTCCTAAAAGATTTAATTAAAGTACACAGTATATTCAAATTTCAGTGGTCAGGCCACCATGAGGTCATTTTTATTAAGATTGAGCATCATCCTTCTGACACAGTCGTACAATTTATCTGAGAGTGCAACCTCCGAATGTACGCTAACTGGTAATTCTCTGGAAAATCTAACTTCAATATTGACCACATGCCAAGAGATATCGATAGCAAATCTTCAAGTACCCGCTGGAGAAACGCTCGCTTTATACGCTCAAAATGATTCAATCATAACTTTTGAGGGATGTATTACATTCGGATATAAAGAAATGACTAATTTTCTAGTAATCATTCACGGGAATAATATCACAGTTATTGGAGCTCCGGGACATTTAATTGATGGTGATGGAGCCAGATGGTGGGATACTTTCGGTAGTAATGGTGGGAGAAAAAAGCCTAGGTTCATTCAGTTTCAGCTTAAAAACTCATTGGTCAAAGGGTTGAACGTAAAAAATAGCCCGCAGCATTGTTTTTCAATATTTGAGAGTGAAAATGTGATCCTAACTGACATCACATTTGACTGTTTGGATGGCGACACACAAGGAGGTCATAATACGGACGCATTCGGCACAGGCTATTCAAAGAATGTAACAATTACGAATAGCACCGTCTATAATCAAGACGATTGTTTCGGCATAAATTCTGGAAGTGGCCACGTCTTTACAAATAATTTCTGCTACGGAGGTCATGGAATATCAATTGGATCTGTAGGAGGACGTGAAAATAATGTGGTTGAAAATATTCTTATAAAAAACAACACAGTTGTGAATTCTGAAAATGGAATTCGTATAAAAACGAATTACAATACCACAGGCATTGTAAGAAACATTACTTTTGAAGATATCACTATTGAAAATATTACCACGTATGGTTTTCTTGTTCGTGGTGATTATCGGAACGGTGGATCGGCTGGAAAACCCTCACCTGGATTCGAGTTATCCCATTTAACTTTCCGAAATATTCATGGTACAGTCCAAAGTGGAGGAACTAACGTGTACATTTTTCTTGCTGATGGAGTTGCTTCAAATTGGACAGTTGAAAATATTAAAATTGTTGGTGGACAAAGACGTGTTCGGTGTTCAGGAATTCCTAGCGATAGCAACTTTTCCTGCGAAGAACAAAACGGTGGCACTAAACAATATCTTTAATTTTTCTTATTAAGTATTAATATTTTTAGTTGTTCTGAGATAGTGCTTTTACTTGTATGTATACATAGATATATGTCTAACTTTGCTTTTGATCCCGATTTTCAGCAACGAGAAGAAAAATACCTTTATCTCACAATTCATAACTTGTTTAATTTGATGTGTGTAACCTGTTTAGATGTTTACCCTTAAAAGATTTAACAGATATAGTACATAATAGAATTAATTTGTGTAACGACGATAACAGCGAACTCATTTCATACTTGAAACTGCTATTTGATACTTGTATTAAATAGAACCATTCTACTTTCAATAACAAATTTTATAAATTAAAAGGTTACCTCCTTATGGGCTCTTCTTTATCACTTCTACTTGAAAATATTTATACGGATTTCTTGGAAAATATCATACTTTATACTTCAAAATCAATAATAAAACGGATCTTTAAATGATTCCGACAATCAGACAATTTGCTAAATATCCCAATATAGCTATTTATAAACCAACACAATTCACCATCGGAAAAGAGAGTAATAAAAAATTAAATTTCGTAGATTTAGAGATTACTCAAGGTCAACATAATAAACTTGAATTTAATATCTTTAGGAAATCTACCTTTATTGATACGATAATTCCGGCTACCTTCACCCATCCAAATAACATAAAACTTTGTGCCTTTTTTTGTGATTCACAGATTACTTTCAGTACCATTTTCAAATTTAAACTTTTAATACAATTAAAACAATAGCCTTAATACAAAAGTAATCGATGCAATCTTAAATAAGAAACGAAGATAACTACCAATTTACTAACTGCGGTTAGTGGAATTCGTCTTCAATAAACAGAAGTCACTTCTATGCTTGCGAACGGGTGCGAAACATGGACGTTGGGCGCGGTGGAAAAGAAAAGGTTAGAAGCGTTCGAAATGTGGTGTTACAGGTGAATGATGAGGATATCGTGAATAGAAAAGGTTAAAAAAGAAGAGGTATATTAGAAGGAATTGGAGAACGGAGGACTCTATGGAAGTATAAGCTTCGTCTTCAATCATTTTTGTAGCATATATTAACGAAAGATAATAGTCAATTGTTCATAGCACACTTTTTTTCAAAATTAGTAAAACTACCTATTTTAGATAAAAATTCGAACGTATTAAAAAAATCCAATAAAGCAATAGAAAATATTCAAATGGATCAAAAGAGGATAAATTATTCGTGTTTGAAGTTTTTAAACATCAGATAATTTTCTAAAATCTTTTCGTAGTAGATATTATTCTTCTAATTTTAAGACTCTTTATCTTTGTTATACCGTCCTACTTATCTATACTTAAAGTGCTAATATCGTACCTAATGAACAAGTTAATTTACGTCTTCTTCAATAGATATTAGGATTTATCTTTCGGTCTACTACAAGAGTTCCCCAAGAACCTAATCTTGAATCCTTATTGTTCATAATTTGTATCAATCCGGTAGCAAACATGACCATCGTGGTTCTTTTAGCTTTTGCAGATTATTTGAAATTATTTATGAAATACAATAAACGACGAGGTAAACGGTATCTGTAGTACAATCCTATATTTAATGGAACTCAATATGTTCAACAAAGTCAGATTACGTAGATGGATATCTGCTTGCTGAACTGATCGATGCAGAGCTCGCCATATGTTACCAAAATTAATCAAAGAATTTCTTGGTGGTGAAACCAACGTAGGTACCAAAACGTAGGTACCAAAAGGTTCATGGTGTTAATAATACCGAATTTGATAAGCAGTCACTCGTCACTCAGAGGACGATTACGTTTTATATCCTTTATTAGTGATAATAGATATTATTTAAACCTATCCGCTTCGGATTATTGCTCCTAAATCTAGTATAGAAGACTGTAGATATGGAGCCCAACCTTCATATGTAATAACGTGTGAAAACCGTCGAAAATAATTTCATAAAATAATAGAAAGCGCTGCCAGCGTTATGAATTCAATATTGATGTCTTGACGCATACTTGACAGTGAAATACATTTTTACCTATTTCTGTATATGAGAAATGAAAAATGTAAGGAAAAAGAGAACCACACCGTTTAAGTTCACCAGGTTTAAACACCTTCTTCAGAGTTTTTATTTGCTAAAAGTTTTTAAACCGTTCAATAAAATCGGATGAAATTTTCTAAAATACTAATCCTATTAAAGTTTAATCGGTCGCCATTATATTGTTTTGCGAATCTTTTGACGTTTCCCTGCATTCTTTACCTGATAAGTGCAATTTTCGGCCGCGTACTCCACAGCTAACTGATCGTGTGACATTGCCGAATACACAACCAAACCTACACTAAAACATTATTATTTACTGATTACTTATCAATCAATTAAAGTATTTATAATAAGATAACATGGAACGCACTTTTATGTTTGGCGAGAATGTTATAGATTAGAGAACGACAAAAGAATCGCTGGCCAAATGTAAAAATACACAGAAATGTTCCTTATAGTCTTCTTCTTTATTACTCTATCCCAAGGAACAAGTTTTTCAATATCTGATTTTTATATACATTAATTTTCATCTTATTAATAATCAGCTTTTCGATTATATGTACATAGGGGAAATTATTTACATAATGGCTTAATAATGTAGGTAATACAACATTCAAATACTTTTTTATCAGCAAATAACGAACGTCACATAAGATTGTAACAATACACATCTGATATGCTCAATGATAATCTTATTGTAATAATTAAATATAAAAAAAAATGAGTAAATATTGTAAAATTAATGATAAAATTACCTTATATATCACAATATTTTCGATGTAATTAATTTTTTAATAAATCAGTCTCGTGTGATCATTTAGCCTGTTGATACTATTTCTAATAGTGACGCAAGTTTTCCAAATCGGTTGCCCGCAAACGGTAAGAACGAATGCTCTATTGACACCAAATTAATTAACATAATCACTATATTCAAATTTCAGATATCGGGCCACCATGAGGTCATTTTTACTAACACTAAGCATCATTTTTCTAACACAATCGTACAATTTATCTGAGAGTGCAACCCCTGAATGTACGCTAACTGGCAATTCTCTGGAAAATGTAACTTCAGTACTGACCACATGCAAAGAGATCTCGATAGCAAATCTTCAAGTTCCTGCTGGCGAAACGCTCGCTTTACACGCTCAAAATGATTCCATTATAACATTCGAGGGAAACATTACATTCGGATACAAAGAAATGTTTGGTTATCTAATAATTATTCGAGGAAATAATATCACAGTTGTTGGAGCTCCGGGACATTTAATTGATGGTGGTGGAGCCAGATGGTGGGATGGTCTTGGTGGAAATGGTGGAAAAAGTAAACCAATGTTCATTCAGTTTCGGCTTAAAAACTCGTTGGTGAAAGGATTAAATGTGAAAAATAGCCCGCAGCATTGCTTAAGAATAATGTATAGTGAAAATGTGATTTTAACTGATATCACGTTTGACAATTTAGATGGCGACACACAAGGAGGCCATAACACGGATGCTTTTGGCATAGGATATTCAAAGAATGTAACAATTACGAATAGCACCGTCTATAATCAAGACGATTGTTTTGCTATAAATTCGGGAAGTGGACATGCTTTTACAAATAATTTCTGTTATGGAGGTCACGGAATATCAATTGGATCTGTTGGAGGACGTGATGACAATTTGGTCGAAAATATCTTTATAAAAAACAACACAGTTGTGAATTCTGAAAATGGAATTCGTATAAAAACTAATCACAACACCACAGGCATTGTTAGAAATGTTACTTACGAAGATATCACCATTGAAAATATTACAGATTACGGCTTTCTTATTCGAGGTGATTATCTGAACGGTGGACCTACTGGCGAACCCACACCTGGTTTTGAGTTATCTCACTTGACATTCCGAAATATTCATGGTACAGTTCAAAGTCGGGGAACTAACGTGTACGTTTTGCTATCCGATGGGGTAGCTTCTAATTGGACAGTTGAAAATATTAGAATTGTTGGTGGACAAAAGAAAGATGTCCGGTGTTTGGGAATTCCTAGTGATTGCAGTCTCTCCTGCGAAGACCATAACGGCGTTCCTTCACACTATGTCTCATTTTTCTTATTAAGTAGTTTAATGTTTTTAAATATTCTGCTATAATTCTTCTTGTATAATGCCAAAAAGCTTCTATCTATAAATTTTTAATTAATTAATTAATAATACTAAAGTAATGTCATTACCCAAATTGTCTGTTAAACGTCTACTCAATAGCCTGAGTTTGTCCTAAGAAACTCCTGTTTTACGCTTAACATTAGTCAACTTGCATGTGTGTATTCGTCTACGATTTTCAATAAACAAAAGTAAAACAGATCACACCACGTGTTACTATTTTTTCAATGATCATGATCAGGTTAAATTTGTAATTATTGTACCTAATTCTTATATATCTGTATGTGAAAACAAGAGATAGTAGTAATAACTATCAAATACCTTGCTAAATGTACGACGTGAATCGTAAGAGCGTTACAATGTTGTACAGGGTTGTGCGCTTCGTATTTCAATTTACGTGTAGGCAAGGACATTCTTAGTTTTGTATTTAAAAATTGGTAATATCTGCGAAACAGTATTGTATGAAAATAAATAAAAGTAAAACAAAAATACTAGCATGTAAGGGAAAAAATAGGTAAAGGCTGTTATTCAGTATTCTTCTTAGGACTTTTAGACATATATTTTCATCGATGGTCTGTTACATTTTCCTCATTTTGAAATTTCTTAATTCCGTTCTTTGAAATTGTTTTGTTTATTTCCGTCAGTGGGCTCATGTTCCACTTTTCTGCTAACAGCTTCTTTTTGTCGATTTTCAAACATTGCATTTTTTGCTTATAAAACTTTTCGATTTATATCGTATGATGTTGGAACCTAAATTTGTATAATTTTCTAGTCACAGTTTGCGTTTATTTTTAAGAAAAGGTATGGGACTCTGGTTGATATGCTTTTAAAGTAGTTAGTATTTGCATTTTTTTTACAATATTTGAATTTTACGTATAGAGAGAATTATTTACATAATGAGTCGTTTATGTAGGTTATATAATATTCAAATGCATTTTTTTATCAGTGAATGTCGAATGTTGTATTTTATTGTAATAGTATACATCTGATATCCTCAATATTGATCCCATTATAATCGTTAAACATAAAAAAATAAGTAAGTATTGCAAAACAAATGATAAAATCACTTTAAATATCACAATACTTTCGCCGTTATCAATTTAATAATAAATCAGTCTTACTTGAACATTTAACCTGTTGGTGCCATTTTTAATATAAAACCCACTAATTCGTATAAGTGATGCTGTTTTTCCACTTTTGCTGGTCGGCTGACAGTAAGTTTCAATAAAATGATTTATTGACACCAAATTAATACGTAAAACGTATGTACTATATTAAAATTTCAGTGATAAGGTCACCATGAAGTCATTTTTATTAACCTTGAACGTCATTTTTCTAATACAACCGTACAATTTTTCTGAGGGTGCAACCTCCGAATGTACGCTAACTGGTAATTCTCTGGAAAACCTAACTTCAATACTGACTACTTGTAAAGAAATCTCGATAGCAAATCTTCAAGTTCCTGCAAACGAAACGCTCGCTTTACACGCTCAGAATGATTCGATTATAACATTCGAGGGAAATATTACATTTGGATACAATGAAAGGACTGGTTTTCTGATGACTATTCGGGGAAATAATATCACAATTGTTGGAGCTCCGGGACATTTACTTGATGGTGGTGGAGCCAGATGGTGGGATGGTCTCGGTGGAAATGGTGGAAAGAGAAAGCCAAACTTCATTCAACTCCGGCTCAAAAACTCTTTGGTCAAAGGGTTAAATGTAAAAAATAGCCCCAAACATTGTTTTAGAATAAACTACAGCGAACATGTAATCTTAACTGATATCACATACGACAATATAGATGGCGACACACAAGGAGGTCACAATACGGATGGTTTCGGCATATCCAATTCAAAGAACGTAACAATTACAAATTGCATCGTATTTAATCAGGACGACTGCTTCGCCATAATTTCGGGAAGTGGGCATGTTTTTACAAATAATTTCTGTTATGGAGGTCATGGAATATCAATTGGATCTGTCGGAGGACGTGATAACAATGTCGTCGAAAATATCTTTATTAAAAACAACACAGTTGTGAATTCTGAAAATGGAATTCGTATAAAAACCAACTACAACACCACGGGCATTGTTACAAATGTTACTTATGAAGATATCACCATTGAAAATATTACCGATTACGGTTTCCTTATTCGTGGGGATTATTTGAACGGTGGACCGACTGGAGAGCCCACGCGTGGTTTCGAGTTATCCCATTTAACCTTCCGAAATATTCGTGGTACAGTTCAAAGTGGGGGAACTAATGTATACGTTTTGCTATCCAATGGGGTAGCTTCAAACTGGACAGTGGAAAATATTAAAATTGTTGGTGGACTCAAAAAAGATGTTCAGTGTTTAGGAATTCCTAGCGATTGTAATCTTTCCTGCAAAGACCATAACGGTGGTACTTCGCAATATCTCTCATTATTCTTGTTAAGTACTTTAAAATTTTTAATTGTTTTGCGATAGTGGTTTTTCTTGTATATCAAAAAATTTCATTTGTTTTGCGTCTACTCAATGAAGTCTGAATTTGTCCTAAAAATCTGCTGTTTTACGTCTAATACTAATGTTTGTCAGTTATTTTGTCTACTATTTTCAGTAAAGAGTAGAAAACTAGATTTCACTTCGTCTGTTATTGTTCTTCCAACGAACAAAATCAGATTTTGTACTGTAAATGTATTTATGCTTTTTTTTAATCGTTACTGTTTTAATTGCTTTATGTATTTCATTCTCCTACAGAATGGAAATGTAAATTAATTTGAAATACCTTAATAAGACCGTAAAGGGACTTGTCTAACACTTGAGATACTTCAGTAGCAGCAAATATCCATTAGATGGTGATACACTAGCTCCATTTTGATATAATGTACTCCTTACCTGAAATACTTATAACGACTATTACAATTCACTTGAGCGATATACATCTGATACAATAAACGAAATATTAAGGCAATTTAACTCAGTTGTCTTACATATGAATATTAAAATGCTAGGTGTAATTGCAGCAACGCATTAAACAAACATTAACATTAAATATGAAGCTTCAGGTAACTCCCTACTGAAATACGTGAAAGCTTTTGAATCCAAATCTCTGTAAAATAGATTAACACGCAGTGTCAAACATCCGGCGGCATGGCCTAGTGGTTCAGGACGTTGCTTACATTCAAGAGAACGCCGGTTCGATTCCGTATCCGTCAGCTTTGGTCAGTTTTACTGTGGTTTCCTTAAATCACTTAGGCAAATGCTGAGGCAGTAATATTCCACAGATAATCTGTCATTCTCTTCTGTCTTAATTTTTGTTCGTCTTATCTTTCTCACCCGAACCACCACCCACCCATTTCCACGATTCCTGAAAGCAGGCTGAAGAGGGCCTTCCGCCCTACCTTCCGGCGTAGTCCGGAGGGAATGACCGCCCACCAGCATTACTGGCTGGTGGGAATGAAACACCCAAAAGTTTTTTTTGTTTTTTATATTGAATCAGCATCAATATCGTTCAAACCATCTTCGAGTTATCTTTATCTGTCGAACTTTTGTCAATCTCAATTTCCTTATTTTCAGTTATCAATAACAGTAATACTATAGTTAACCATCTCAATTAAGTTAAGTCAGTTTGTGTATAGTGTAAATACGTTATTAAATGTATATACCATAAAAAAAGACTATCATTCCATTTCAAAATCAACACAATCTACATTAAGCAAAACTACCCTAATCGTAGTAAAATATTGTTAGGGATAAAAACAAACTTCAATGTTGAATATTTTTAAATGTTTTGCGGTAGTGCGTTTTCTATTATGCTAATGAGCTCCATTATATAAACTCTAATATAATTTAATTAAGTAAATTAACTACCCATGTCTTCTTGTAAACGTCTACTCAATAGTCTAAATTTGTCCTAAGAAACTCCTGTTTTACGCTCGACATTAGTAAACTTATAAGTGAGTTTTCGTCTACGATTTTCAATAAACAGAAGAAAAACAGATTACACTATTTGTTATTATTTTCCAGATCAGATCAGGTTTAATTTGTAATTATTGTAGCTAATTTTTATTAGACAATTATTTTCATCGATGGTCTGTCACATTTTCTCCATTTTGAAATTCCTTAAATTCCTTCTTATGGTTTTCGATATCGTTTTGTTTATTTCCCTCAGTAGGTACATGTTCCTTCTTTCTTCTAATAGCATTTTCGTATTTAAACTTAGCTTGTCCTCTTTGTTCACTTTCAAACATTGCATTTATGGCTTATAAAACTTTTTGACTTTTGCTCAATAGCGCCTGATATTGGACCGTAAATTTGTATAATTTTGTACCAGCAGTGTAGGTTTATTTTTAAAGAGAGGTACGTTACTCTGGTCGATATGCTTTTAAAGTAGTTAATACTATTTGAAATTCTTTTGCATAGGAAAAAACAAACTCCACTATACGACTAATCTTCATTCTTTTTTATAATGGTAAAAATAACTGGACTTAATGTTTGTAAACTTTCAGTACGTTTCTTGAATCTACTTATTTTTAGTAAGTATGTATATCCTATAAAAGAACATAGGACTCTGAAACCTTCTCAGACATGAAGGTCTAGTAAGAGGCAGAAACAGGAGTTAGGAGGGGTAGAGGTAAACTTAGATTAGATTACTGTTCGTAAATAGTTAAGGATGTGGGTTGTTCTAGTTTTAGGGAAATGCGAAGTTTAGCTCAGGGTAGGAAAGAGTGGAGGTACGTGTCCAACCAGTCTTAGGACTGACGACCTTATAATGATGATGATGTCCTATTTGTTATTTACCATATCATTCTCTAGTTCCGTAAAGCATTCATATGTGAATTAGGCTTTTGGTTTTGCAAGTTCTAATATATGTTCCCCTTTTTATTCCCGCGGGGGGGTTGTCGACAAATAAAACGCCACACTTACTAAGCGAATTAGTGAGTTTAATGTTCAGCCGTCATCAGACGCTGACCATAGCCGCTCTCTCAGAGCCAGACACCACGATGCTTTGTTTTGATTCACCCCGGGTATATTATTTTTCCAGTATCAACTATATCTAAGGGACGTTCCGCTATCCACCACCTAGGAGAGGCGCTCAACGAAGGACTAACAACCTCACACGAAACGACAAAAATAGACAGTCCTGTATAATCAAAGGATTGGAAATAACCCGTAGCCAAATGCTACAATATAGAAAAATATCTTTTTAGTGTTCTCCCTTATCCCAAGGAATAGGTTTTACAATATTTGAATTTTACGTATAGAAGGAATTATTTACATAATGAGCCATTAATGTAGGTTATGTAATATTCAAATGCTGTTCTTTATCAGTGAATGCCGAACGTAGCATTTGATTGTAACGATATACATCTCATATCCTCAATACTAATCCTATTATAATTGTTAAACATAAAAAAATAAGTAAGTATTGCAAAATAAATGATAAAATCGCTTTAAATATCACAATACTTTCGCTGTTATCAATTTATTAATAAATCAGTCTTACATGAACATTTTACCTGTTGGTGCTATTTTTAATATAAAACGCACCAATTCGTATAAGTGATGCTGTTTTCCTATTTCGCTGGTCGACCAACGGTATGTTCTACTAGAATACTTTATTGACACCAAATTAATTATGTACTATATTTAAATTTCAGTGATAATGGTCACCGTGAGGTCATTTTTATTAACTTTGAACGTAATTTTTCTAACACAACCGTACAATTTTTCTGAGAGTGCAACCGCCGAATGTACGCTAACTGGCAATTCTCTGGAAAATTTATCTTCAATATTAACAACTTGCAAAGAAATCTCAATAGCAAATCTTCAAGTTCCTGCAAACGAAACGCTCGCTTTGCATGCCCAAAATGATTCGATTATAACATTCGAGGGAAATATTACCTTCGGATACAATGAAAGGACTGGTTTTCTGATGACTATTCGGGGAAATAATATCACAGTTGTTGGAGCTCCGGGACATTTACTTGATGGTGGTGGAGCCAGATGGTGGGACGGTCTCGGTGGAAATGGTGGAAAGAGAAAGCCATACTTCGTACAGCTCCGGCTCAAAAACTCTTTGCTCATAGGATTAAATGTAAAAAATACCCCAAAACATTGTTTTAGAATATACTACAGCGAAGATGTGATCCTAACTGATATTACATATAACAATTTAGATGGCGACACACAAGGAGGTCACAATACTGACGCTTTCGGCATATCCAATTCAAAGAACATAACAATTACGAATTGCATCGTATTTAATCAGGACGACTGTATTGCCATAATGTCAGGAAGTGGGCATGTTATTACAAATAATTTCTGTTATGGAGGTCATGGAATATCGATTGGATCTGTCGGAGGACGTGATAACAATGTCGTCAAAAATATCTTTATAAAAAACAACACTGTTGTGAATTCTGAAAATGGAATTCGTATAAAAACCAATTACAACACCACGGGCATTGTTACAAATGTTACTTTTGATGATATCACTATTGAAAATATTACCGATTACGGTTTTCTTATTCGTGGAGATTATTTGAACAGTGGACCGACTGGAAATCCCACACGTGGTTTCGAGCTGTCTCATTTAAACTTCCGAAATATTCATGGCACAGTCCAAAGTGGGGGAACTAACGTATATGTTTTGCTATCCAATGGGGTAGCTTCAAACTGGACAGCTGAAGATATTAAAATTGTTGGTGGACTCAAAAAGGATGTTCAGTGTTTAGGAATTCCTAGCGACTGCGGCCTTTCCTGCAAAGATCATAACGGTGGTCCTTCGCAATATCTCTCATTATTCTTGTTAAGTACTTTAATATTTTTAATTGTTTTGCGATAGTGTTTTTTTTTGTATATCAAAAAATTTCATTTGTTTTGCGTCTACTCAATGAAGTCTGAATTTGTCCTAAAAATCTGCTGTTTTACGTCTAATACTAATGTTTGCAAACTTTCCTGCAAAGACCATAACGGTGGTCCTTCCCAATATGTCTCAATTTTCTTATTAAGTACATTATTACTTTTAATTGTTTTGCGATAGTGTTTTTCCTTATATGTCGAAAAATTTCATTTGTTTTACGTCTACGCAATGAAGTATGGATTTGTCCTAAGAATCCTCTGTTTTACGTCTAATATTAAAGTTTCTCAGTTATTTTGTCTACTATTTTCAGTAAAGAGTAGAAAACTAGATTTCATATAATCTGTTATTGTTCTTCCAACGAACAAAATCAGATTTTGTACTATAAAGGTATTTATGTTTTTCTTTTAATCATTACTATTTTAATTGCTGCATGTATTTCAGTCTCCTACAAAGTGTAAAAGCAAATTAGTTTGAAATACCTTAGTAGGACCTTAAAGAGACTTGTCTAAAATTTAAAATACTTCAGTAGCAGCAAATACCTATCAAATTGTGATATACCACCTCTATATTTTGATATAATATACTCCTTACCTGAAATACTTGTAATGACCGTTATAACTAAATTGAGGGCCATACATCTGATACTGTAAACGAAATTATAAAGCAATTTAAGTCAGTTGTCTTACATATTAATATTAAAAGATTAGGTGTAAATGCAGCATCGCTTGAAACACACATTAACTTTGAATATGAAGCTTCAGATTACTCCTTACTCATTTACGTGAAAGCTTTTGAATATGAATCTCTGCAAAATAGATGAACACGTAGTGTCAACGGCCGAGCAGCATGACCTAGAGGTTCAGTCCTTAACTTAGCCTTCGGGAAGACGCCGGTTCGTTTCCGGATTCGTCTGCCTTGATCCAAGTTATTCTGTGGTTTTGTTGGATCAATTAGCCAAATGCTGGTGCAATAATACTCCACATATAATCTTTCATTCTCTTCTGTCATTATTTCGCCCGTCTCATGTTTCCGCCCGAACAACCACCCACCCATTCCCACGATTCCTAAAAAGAGGCTGAAGAAGGCCTTCAGCCCCACCTTCCGGCGTAGTCCGGAAAGACTGCCCGCCAGCCAGCATTATTGTGTGGCATTACTTCCTAAAGGAGTTATGCGAAAATGGTCGGGCAGTCGGACACGTCAACTTTAGTATAGAGTGGGAAGTTTTCGTATCATAGATTTATGACAATCTGGACAGTACAAGAATCACCAAAAGTTCCAATGAGGGGGAGATCGATACGTGACATTAAAGGTTACTAGAGACACCTTATAGTGATATCAAAATTTGTTACGTTGGAAGCACCTATTGGCGACTGAATTATTTACTTATGTGCGAATACTGTTTCCTAGTTAAAATAAGATTTCAATTCAATTATTTGAATCCTCTGTAGTCAAATTTTTGCTGATAAATTGACACGCTAAACGTAGCCTTTCTGCGAAATACCTATCTACTTAAAGGTAAAAACTATTTAATGCAATATCGATATGATACTAAGATTGTGATAAGAGACATCAATCTTTTGTTGATGATGAATGATCGAGAATAGTTATGTCGGTTTTAGTTTAAAGGAGGAAAAAAAATACTAACTTGGGCAGATTAAAAATTTATATATGGCAGTTGCAATTGTTTTGCATGTTAATAGAGATGTTGATCACTCAATCAAGTTTTTTGAAGATGACTTCTTTAAGGTACCAAAATGTGATGTGACTCTTGGTAAAAACAGTGAAATTAGAATTTCTACCATCTGAAAGTTTTTTTAAATGAAAAAATAATTAATAGTAACAGAATTAAAAATTACTTTATCATAAGAGATTATAACGTATTAATCTTATCGTTGAAGAGTGATAATGAATCAGGAGAACTACTAAATATCTATTATGTTGGTGACTATTCGTACATTGCAATCTTTTGATCAATAACAAGGTAAAATAATATTGGTGGTTTTCATCTAGCTGAATGTTAAAACTTATGTTAACCTCCATGCAATAACATCTGATCACCTTTCCATTTTCTTTGGATTTAATATAGAAATAATTGTACTGATTATGACAAAATAAATTACGGCAAGCCAATAGAAGCATTTAGGCACGTTAACATTCATAAATATTAAAATACCATTGTTGATTATGAGCTAGCAATAATTCTGTTTATTGAAGACGTCAGGACTTCAACAAAAAAGGTAACGTGAAAATAAAAGTAAAAAAAAAAGAAAACGTAAACCTTGGATAACCAAAGGTATTTTATAATAAATGTGGTATAAACAGCTTTTACACAATTCACCTTTCATGAGGAATGAATTTGCCTACTACGTATGAAAAAATCGTAAAAGAAAGTATAATTACAATTCAAAAGGAATAATATCCTGAAAAAGGCAAATTTTAAAAGTAGAAAAGCATCATAAAAGTCTACCTAAAATCGTAAGTAGATTCAAAACTGTCATAATACACAGGATATTCCATTTAAAATAACGAAGTCGGTATAACCAGAAATGCTACATAGATGCCGTTATTTTAATTGAGGAGAGCATACCCAATAACGCTATTGTCCTTTTCAAAACTTGAAACGAAGTAGTTTCCGAACTATTCTAATGAGTACTTACCGTGAAACACCCTGTATATTTATTACTTATATAAAATATGGTACAGCAAGCGGGACCGGTCGAACTTGCATTAGTGGCATTGTGTTTCCTTAAATTTTCATTTCAGATCAGTCAGCCATCATCTCCTATTATTTTTCTCCATTTCTTTCCTTGACTTCGTTGGAACATCGGTATCCCTATATTTTCTGAAATTATTTATTTTAACTTTATCGTATTTTTTTCAGTTATGCCTCGGTTAGCCATTTTAAGCTGATATCGTGGTCAACCACCTCTAAGTACATTATTTTTAATGGAATGAGCCCTAAATAATGAAATAATTGGAAACAACCTCTGCTCAAATGATACAAAACAGGAAAATATTGTTCTCCTTGCATCAGTTAGTTTTAATATTTTTTTTGTTCATTACAGATAGATTTGCTTATAATTATTCAACCTATTTTATTTTATTATATTAGAAATTTCCATAATTTTAAGTGCATACAAGGGTCTAATATCTCTTGAATGTTCTTTTTCCAACAATAACATTTGGTCCCAATGGTCAGGTTCTGCGAAGGTTTTCGACGGCAACCTCCTTTGTTAATTTTATTATCGATGTTCTTCAATCGTATGCAGGTTACAGGAATTTCATAGCTCGAGGCAGAGTCACACCTTGTTAAGTTTTTCCCCTTATCAACTTCTAGCTCGTATTCACTTGTTGTATACCATGTATTGGTGGTGGCACCAGAACAATTTTTGATTTTGTCACATAATTTAGAGTTAGTTACGTTTTGTCCTTTTTCTTGTTCTCTTGCGTTTTTAATTCATATTTTTTTCGTTGTGCCTTTAATTATAATCCATTATTTCATAGTTAATAAAATTCATTTATAAATAAAGTCTGTATAGTTGTAATGTTTTATATCGAGTTTCATTCGCTCCGTTAAAACCAGCATTTTGAGGAAGTACTGCTCGTGATTTCACGGCAAGCACGTCTTATTCCTAGGAATAAGTTATACAATATTGTTTTCTATACAAATAAAGTTATTTGTGTATCATATTATTTATAAATACATAATAAATCATTAATGTAATATACTGCGGAAACGCATTTTTTTATCAATGAATATCATATTTGATGAATTACAACAAAACACTTCTAATATCCTTTTTAAAACTATATTATCTATGCACTATAGATTTTATCATTTTATTGACCAATTTATCTTATCTGATCATATATCCATACTTTTAAAATAAAGCCCACTAATTTGTATTGTAATTATGCCAGTTTCATACTCCGCTGGTCCGTCAACGGTAAGAACTGAAAATTTATCTGCCTATCAAATTTAACCTATTAAAAATTAAAAGGCTGCTTTATTGAATTTAATTAATAAATTTTTTAATTCAAATTCTAGTATTTAGACCACCATGAGGTTATCATTATTAACTCTGAGCATCATTCTTCTAATAGAATCATACAATTTTTCTGAGAGTGCAACCTCCGAATGTACGCTAACTGGTAATTCTCTGGAAAATCTAAGTTCAATATTAACCACTTGCAAAGAAATCTCGATAGTAAATCTTCATGTTCCTGCTGGAGAAACACTTGCTTTAAACGCTCAAGATAATACGATTATAACATTCCAGGGAATGATTACATTTGGATACAAGGAGATGAGTGGCTTTCTAATAACTATTCGAGGGAACAATATCACAGTTGTTGGAGCTCCGGGACATTTACTTGATGGTGATGGAGTCAGATGGTGGGATGGTCTCGGTGGTAATGGTGGGAAAAATAAGCCAAAATTCATTCAGTTTCGGTTGACAAACTCTATTGTCAAAGGGTTGAATGTAAAAAATAGTCCAAAGCATTGTTTTACTATAACCAACAGCGAAAATGTAATTCTAACTGATATCACATATAACAATTTAGATGGAGACACACAAGGAGGTCACAATACTGACGCCTTCGACACATCCAATTCAAAGAATGTAACAATTACGAATAGTGTCGTTTTCAATCAAGACGATTGTCTCGCCATAAATTCGGGAAGTGGTCACGCGTTCACAAATAATTACTGTTATGGAGGTCATGGAATATCAATCGGATCTGTTGGAGGACGTACGAATAATGTCGTTGAAAATATCCTCATAAAAAATAACACAATTGTGAATTCTGAAAATGGAGTTCGTATAAAAACCAATTACAACACCACAGGCATTGTTACAAATGTTACATATGAAGATATCACCATTGAAAATATTACCGATTACGGTTTTCTTATTCGTGGTGATTATCTCAACGGTGGACCGACTGGACAGCCCACGCGTGGTTTCGAGTTATCCCATTTAACATTCCGAAATATTCGTGGTACAGTTCAAAGTAAGGGAACCAACGTATACATTTTGCTATCGGATGGAGTAGCTTCAAACTGGACTGTTGAAAATATTGGAATTGTTGGTGGACTCAAAAGGGATGTCCGGTGTTTAGGAATTCCTAGCGATAGTAACTTTTCCTGCGAAGACCATAACGGTGTTCATTCACCATATGTTTCGTTTTTCTTATTAAGTACTCTAGTATTTTTGATTTTTCTGCGATAATGCATAAGTATAAATATATATTAGGAAATAATTTATTTTATTCAACGAGACATTAATGTACTATACTTTTTTTTCATTATTTTTGACTATTGTTGAGCTTATCCAAATTTGGACTGTGGGTATCTTTGTCGGTGGTGCACTGTACTTCCCACATGACCTTTAGGTTAACCTTTACTCAAAATTTTAAACACATTAGAACATTGTTATGTATAACAATAGCCAAAGTAGTTTGATAAATATAATAAATATTGTCAAAACTGAAATCACAATAGTTGATAAATAAGTTGAAAATACAATAAGCGTTTTTTAAAAGCATTTATTGACTAATATTTCACCTAAATAAATTTAGGTTTAGAGCAAGACTTTTCTCTGTTCAAAATTTCCGTCTTTTTTCTCACCTTGGTAATTCCGCAAATTGAGAATTGATTAGGTAAAGTCTAGATATGAGAACTATTCTCATTAGTATTTGATCTAACTTCTTTCTCCATTCATCTGTTGTCAATTAATAAAAAACATTGCATACGTTGAACTATTATATTTTTTAAACTGTTTAAATCGTGACTATAACTGCAGTTAATATACTAGGCGCACTTAGCAGAATAATTTATTCATTATTTTCGATGACAAAATTCTTGCACCATTTAAGATCTCACGGAAATGAAATTAGTTCAAAGTTCAAGCGACATTGCTCAACAAAGTAAGCGTATATTATCACAAAATAACTATGCAAACGAAATAGCGAACTATTTGCTACTTAATTAGTTTCTAAAGATACTGCGTGTGAACCACTTAGAATTGGCTGTATTACTATAAGATCCAATGCATTTAGAAAGTAATTACTGCTAATCGCAAAAGTATTAGGGCCGAGCGGCATGGCCTAGAGGTTTAGACTATTGCTTAGCATTCGCGAGGACGCTGGTTTGATTCCTGGTCCGTCTGGCCTGGCCCAAGTTTTCTGTGGCTTCCTTGAATCACTTAGGCAAATTGTGGGGCAGTAATATCCCATAGATAATCTTTCATTCTCTTCTATCTTCATTTCATCCGTCTTTCTCACCCGAAACATCACCCACCCATTCCCATGATTCCTGAGAGAAGACTGAAGTGAAGCTTCCGCCTTATCTTCCATTACTAACTGGTGGGAATGACACACCCAAAAGTTTTAGAATAATTAGGATTGTCATTTGAGAAGTTGGAAAGTTGGTAAGATCAAGTGTATGCGAAGAAAGAATATCCTTTTTAGAACTATTTTAATTTGGCAACTAATAATAAGACTCTACAATCTACGTTTTTTCCTTCGGCGAGCATGGCGAATTCGTATTGTGTACAAGAGCACAGGCAAAATAAGCCACCAAAGTAAAATGTATTCATACATACATATATTCTTGTTCCATATTCGAAAATCGTTATTAAAATAATGGAAAACTATTTCAAAAGCGGCACTATACTATATCATTGTAATTTTACCGATAATATCGTTGAAAAAAAGCTTTGCAAGTAGTTCATAAATAAATCTTTTTAAATTTTTGTTTGACTATACATACCGTTTTTAGACATATTATTTTGTTACTAAGTTTATTACAAAAACAGCTTCACATTACGAACAGTATTACTTATACCTTCTATTGCAATTCCAGTTCAGCTGGTCTTTGAATAGTAAAATTAGCAACCAATTAAAGGACGTCAACAGAACAGATTTACGAAGCCGCTATTAATATATGCGATATTAGTATATGCGATAAAATGCATCCAGAAACCGACTTACCATGGGGTATTGGCTCGGAATATTGACCAGAAGTCCGATTTCTTGATGATACTATACCTAATGGTAATCTTTGCTACCTGCGAGGGTTCACTGAACATCTTACTAAGGACCGATAATATTTCCTAATTAATAAGTTGAAAAACTGAACAGAATATTGACGGGGGAGAATATCTCCCGGCACCCTTCAGCTTTGGCTGGGGATCTTCATTGATCTCTTGTCTTGCTTTACATTATCTACAAACTTATTCACCATAACCCATTTTAAAAGTCCTTTCTATATTGTAGTACCTTGGAAAATATTACAAAATTCGATCTTTTTGGATTCCATCAGCGCGTCACAGGCAGCTCCGACAGAACACAGACCAACTTTTACCTGCTGTCTTAACAGTGCGTTTTAGAAAATACTACAAATGCGCAGTAAACGCCATCTGTGGCACGATGCTACATTTTAGGATTCCCTATGCTCCAACAAGGTCCACATGTGTGGATATCTACTTGCTGAAAACGAATCCTGGCGTAGCCAACCTCAACGTGATAGGCACGTTAGCTTAATCGAATAAAATAATTTGAAGTGGTCTGTATTCTGTCGAAACTGCCTGCGACGCGCTGATGAGATCCAAAAAGATCGAAATCGCGATCCGCGTCTGGCAGTTTCGACAGAATACAGACCACTTCGAATTATTTTATTTGTAGTACCTTATCCTTTATTGTTAGTACCCCTATTTAAATGTTCCGGCCCCTTTGTTTTCGGAATTAAGTTTCTTCCGTTGCTTCTACCACCTTCAACACTTCTAATAGGTTCTGACCCCACTTTGACGGCTTATTGTTTACGATTGTTTTCATTCTTTATGCCTACCACAGCTTTGAAATATTTACACGCCCTCCCTCCTTGTGAATTAGCATTTTTTAATTACCCCTTGGTGTATTTCTAGCCACCCCCTAACGTAATATCTTGCTTGTACCCTAATCAAACTCTTTTCATTATTTTCCATGTAATAGAATTTGCTGCATTTTGAGCTTTTTCTGTCACACCTTTTATATGTAAACTTTGGTAGGTAGATTTTTCAGTAACCATTCGTGCAGCATATACCTATCACGAGCCGCCACTGCTACAAATTATTGTCGCTTTTTCTCGTAATAGAAGTTTTACTCGAGGTTGCTCCTGGGTTTTTCATCGTACTAATTTTTAATTTCGTAATTGGGTGGAAGACGAAAGTTAGCAAGAGACATATTTCGGAAACGTGTCCATAATTATATTTCCAACTTTGCTCGAGGTTAACTACCAGAATCCAGCTTGACTCACTGCAGGAAAGTTCTTACTGACTACCATTAAACACTGCGACCATTGAACTAAGAATGGAGTGGAATTCCATTGATAATCATTACTCACACAGTTTCTCTTATTTTTTGTGGAGTATATTGGAAAAACTTTTCTCGTCATTAATTATGCTTGCGGTTGTATCATTGCAAACGTTTATTCGTCATTTATATAATTAGTCTGATAATTAATCTGTCTTAAATAGAAGCTCCAAAGGAATAATAAAATAATATACTTTGATTTTTAAATATGTGTAAAAAATAAAAAATAGTCATACATATAGGTACCACATAGATGAATTTGTACCCATATTTTGGCTACATTGTTGACTCAAAAAGCTGAATATATCAAGCGCATATTCTTAATATTTATATATAAAAGAAATTATAAGTGCTGTCAGTACAGGGCAAAGTAGTATTACGTATACTTCATTTAGTTTCTCTAGCGATGTGACCTTTAGTTTGACCGGCGCAAAGTAGAAAAGAACAACACTAGGCCAGAAAAGAAAGGAGACAACTTTCGACCAAACTCTTAACTGGCGAGGAGCGTGTAATCTATACAGTACTGCACGGAAAAATTGACCATTTTATCCACTACAATTGCATTGCTCAAATGTGCTGTTATTGGTACCATTTACTACTGAAAATATCAACGAGATGTTTATTTATATTTGAAGACATATTAAAGACTTTAACGCTTGTTTTCGACTCACACTACTATTTATGATTGAAGAAAACTTTTGGCAAGTACTGTATAAAAAAGTATGTTTAATGAATAAGAGCCGAGAGTATAATGAGCGTTTTTCTCCCTACCTACGATTTTGCCAGTGCGCATTCAAGACATTGGAAGGGGCACATTTCTATAGAAACTTAACGAAGTATAGTTAGTATCAGCAATTTCTTATGCTGAAGTGTACGATGTGTTACATACCTATTTACAAACAATTCCTTTAAATTTAATTTTTCAAACAATTTTTAACACAAAGAAAGTGATTACACAAATTAAATTTGGAACACTCGAAGCAATGAAGCTAACAGTTTCGAGCTCACAGTGACTGATAGGTAGGAAGAATTTGTAACTGTACTCATAATCTCTGTTACAGTTTAGTTCATTTTGAAAAAGAAAATTAATGAGTTGCTTAGGCATACTGATGTTAATATAATATTTAATATATTGATTGATTCAAAATTTTCAACTACATTGCCTTATTAAGAAAATCAAAAGCAAACCTTCCACTCTAATGCAACTTTTAGCTTTTTAGATAGGCCGACATGAAAGGCAAGGTTATACGTTTAAATCTGGCGCAATTACACTTCATTGAGACAAGTTTGCGCAAAAACATCGCCGTTTCAGTAAAAACGAACCTTAATTACTCTCTCACTATTTGTTTTACATTGTATTGTCAGCAGACTAACACCGCTCCAAATTCGCCCGGACAAGGGCAGGTTCTTGTTCAGTCTGGTTGTACAGGTGCGCGGTTTTTAAGACTAACGACCGCTCGGATAGTAACAAATGAATTCCTTTTTCAGCATTTTTCTTTGACAAATACAAAACTTTACAGCAAAATATGCGAACGTCGAAACTTCTGGTATGTTTTCTTGGTACATTCTCATTGAGTAGGATAAGTGATAGCTTTAAATAAAATGGAAGCAGTACTGACAGATCAGTACTGTATGAAAATAAATAAACGTAAAACTAAAATACTGGTAAGCAAGGGAAGAAAAGGTAGGGAAAGAGCGAATATAAAGATAGGAGACGAAAAATTAGACGAAGTGGCTAATTTTAGAGAATTTTAGATTGTAGATTTGTTCACTGTGTTCGTTCCTGTACCAATATCATTCTTTTAGATGAGTAATAAGTGCTTGTTGTTGTGGTATAAATTTTTGTTGATAAAATACGTCAAATACCGACCACATGCGATTTCTAGTACGTTTTTTATTAAACGGCTGGTACGCATTGAAGTGTATCAAAACGTATTTTTTCCGTACATACAGTCAAACATAAAGTTAAAATTAACTTACTTACGAAACTTTTTTTTACAGATTTTTGGGTTCCAAATCGAAAGTTCAGCACATGGCATAATTTCGGAATGGTTTGGATGGGGAAGTTTTTAAGGTAATTTTTGAAATCACGTAAAATTTTGAAATGGAAGTATTGTTGCATATATTGTATAATTACAGTAAATGTAATTCCTATCTTGATTCGCAGTACTGTAGAAGCTGTAAAAAATATTTT